GTTTTTGTTCATAGAATGATGAGTGCACCGGAGTGGATGGTTTGTGTTCTGCCAAAACTGTAGCAAATAGTTAACTGTCCTTGGGAACACGAGACATTTTATTCTGTGTGAAACCAAGACCAAAACAAATTAGAAAATGCAACTGCTTTCTCCATTTTCTTATTCTAGCAAGAAAGGAGATCATTTCAAAGTAGCCTAGCAGGAGTGACACTCCTGGAAGATGAATAAATCTCGTCCCCGTCCGGAGGTGGATAGTGACGGCACATCAGAAATAGTTTTCAGAACCCAATGAGCCTTTGTGAAACCTGGGGAATATTTACAGGTGGTAGAAGTTTTAAGAAGAAGTCAGTTCTGGCAAAATCATCATAAAAACCTTTATAGAGCATTTCTATGGGGCAGCCATTTTTCTTTACAAGTTTTTCTTAGACATCTGTCAACTAGGAAATAAATATGGTTACCATCTCCATTTGACAGATGAGAAAATCAAGGTAGAAAGAGTTTAAGTAACTTTCTCAGGGGAATAGTGCTCATAAATTGGGGAGGAGAGGCACAGAGAGTGCTCAGATTTGAATTTAGAGATTCTGAGGCCCAAGGCTGTGGTCTCAACCATTATGCAACAGTATCCAGGAATCCTCTTATAATTAAGACCATTGGAGGAGCCAAAGTTTTTTTTAATTACATGGATCCTGGCAATCAAGGCCAGCTGTTTAGGAAAAGATAAAATAGATAAAGTTTGCCTTTGCTTCTCCTTCACCTTCTCTTTATCTCCCTTCAAGGGTTCCCGCTACTTTTTTAACACTACTTCTGATTGCAAACCCACTTTCATTTCTATAGGATATTTTTTAGAGGCAATTACTATTGGAAATAGATTATAGTATTAATTTATAAAGGTTTAAAGAGTCAGTCCTTTAAGGGGTCTTTGTATTCCAAAAGGACATTTTTAAGAAATAAAAAGTTTTCAAGACATGTAGGGGCCACTCTAAAAATGATGCTTCACATTCCATTTCAGAACAATGGAGATGGTATTTTTTCAGTCGGGGCTGTATTAGAGGCCCCCCAAAGTACACTATGGAATGGGAAATGGCAACCCCTTTATCTCTTGGAAAGACCTCTTATTGTAAAGAAATGGGGAGAGTTAAAGGAAGGAGAAAACTGTGTAGACGAGAATAATCCAAAAAGGAGGAAGAGACGTATGGAATCTCAAAATGGGGTATTGATTTCAAACTCCACTTCTGCCAGTTCCTAGCCAGGTCACTATGGGAAAATGATTAGAAGTCCCCTGGGTAAAATTACTTATGTAACAGAGATGTGAGAATTCAGTAAGGTAATGATTGAAAAAGATAACAACAAAACTCATGCTGATAGTTAAGACATTCTTAGAGGATATTGATGCCCTCTCCCCCTCTCCCTGCCACACTCTGTATTAGAGTTGTGGGTGGGGTGATCAGGAAGGGAAATGGTAAAAACCAATGGAAGAGAACTGTCTAGAGAAAAAGAGACTAAATTGTGAGACACTCATTTCTTGATGTGAATCAGACATGTTGCACTCTTGCATTCACTCATTCAACAGATGCTTATTGATTACTCCTACACTTCTCTCAGATTTGGGACTTAGACTCACTTGGATCAGCTCCACATTGCATTTAGAAATGCTGATTTTTCAGAACCATGTCTTCATCTAGAATCCGATAAACCCGGACATTAAGGCATTGCTGGTGTCCTTCTCTTGATTCTTCTGCAGATATAACTTCCAATGCGAACTTCAGAATCTATATATATAAAAGGCTAAGTGACCATCCGACCAGTAGCTATGACATGCAATGACCACCAGGGGACAGACGCTCCAACCAGTATCTATGATGCGTACTGACCACCAGAGGGCAGACGCTCAACACAAGAGCTGCCAAGCTGTGGTGAGATGTCAGAGAGCCAGTTTTGGCTCTATCCCTGCAGACCAGGCTGGGGGACCCCACCTGCCAGAGGGACCCTGCTCACTCTGCAGACGCCCTTGGAGCTGCAGCGCCACCACAGTTGCCGCCAGCCGGGGAGGGACCATGGGAGGTCCAGTCCCACCCCACCCAGTCCTGCCCTGCTGGCCACCTTCTAATTAATTTCCTTTCAATGTGCACAAATCCGTGCACTGGGGCATTAGTGTTAAATAAATATAATTTTCAGTTTTACCACATTATCTTGGAACATCTGGTCAGATTATTCTTCACCTAAGACCATGTAGAACATAGCGATGCCTGACACCTCCATCCCTTGATTTATTTACTAAGCAGACGAGGAAGGTTAGATATTAATCAGGAATAACTTTAAGACTGAATAGAGGTGGCCTTTGTCATCCTGCCATGGCACTGTGCTAGCGGGGATGTGTACCCAAGTGTCCCCTGAATGTCCAGCCTCACCAGACTGCACATACAAAGCAGACTATAGTGATGTTAATTCCTGAAATTTCCTGGCCTTGTAGCTCTCTCATTACAAAACTTCTGGGCCTCTCCAGCTAAACTCTCCCACCTTCTGGCAGCCTGAGGGGCTGTCTCATGTGCTCAGGGAGAAGTTGGCACCATTGGGTACAGCTTCTGCCTCGCTGGCTCTGCTCAGCATTTGCTGTGCCAGTTATCACTGCTCCTTGGGAAGGATGATGTTCTCCACAGAGCACTGTGCCGTGGGGCTTCTCAGTGTGCCACCTGAAGCCGTGGTCTCTTTAGGCTTCACCAAACTGTTGGAGCTACAGTGTGTTCCATTTAGAAAAAGAAAAAGATCATTGTTCCCTCACTAACTCTGCGCTTCACCTGCCAACTGGACCCTGAGCTAAAACTGCCTGGCACACAAGCAAACAGCTTATTCAGATTATGCCTCTCACCCCTCCACCTCCCCCTTTCACCTCACAAGGTGACATCAGGGGCTGTGGGGAGAGCCACATCATCCCCTCCACTGTGTTCAGCTCTGCACTGTGTCCCCCAGGTCCTCAGGAACCAACTTTGTCCTTTCTCCTTCAGTCAAAAAACTTAGGCAGACCTATGCCTTGCATGTCATCAGCCTCACCTTCCCCGTCTCTGTTTAGGCTCAGTCAGGCTTACACTGTTGTCCCTTCATGAAGTTGTCTGGTTTGCTGAGTTCATAACCACAAGGGAACTGAGGATCTGGTGGTGACTGGCGCCATAAGTCAGTATTGACAATCCACATGAGGACTACCCCCAAACAGGGAGGCCTAGCAGCAGACAGAACTGCTTATTAAGTCATTTCAGCATGATTTTCTGTTGAAAGAGATGCAGCTCAAAAAATAGAAGGTATTTGGACTAGAAAACAACCCTATTATAGCTGA